TTTAATTTGGATTGCTTTGACCATTTTGAAACCTTAAAATAATTTAGAGCCTCATTCCTAGATTAGATTTTCTTGGTATCTAGCCATTGGTTCGAAAAGATGCAATAAATATCAGTTGCGGGGGACGCGGGGCATTCTTATCCTCTCATTGGATATAATAAATGGCCACGATGGGACTTCTCCTCGATCAAAGATGTCGGCAAACTTGGGTTGGTGGCCTGCCACACAAAGGCAGCATACACGTGTTCGACCACACGGTTGTCAAGACCACATCACACTTCGTTGTCAAAGCAAGTTGTGGATTGGTTCTAAACCACGACTTTTGCCCCCGCGTTGTCACAAATATTTTTTTAATATGAGATAAAATATATAATATAAATTGAGATTATAAATTTAAATTATAAAATTATAGGTAGAATATTCTAACTAATTATATATTAATAAATTCAATTAAATAATAATTAAAAATATTACACAATTAAAATAAAAATAAAATAAATAAATAAAAGTCTGAAATAAAGAAATATACCAATTAATATATTAATAATTTATATAAAAAAACTGTTAAAAATAAATAGATATTTTTATTTTATAAAAATAAAATACGAATGTGATAATTATTTTCAGTTTACAGTTGCGAGGCAATGTAGCCCCTTTAGTAGAGTAGCAATAACCCACCACCTGTCAGAGCAAGTTGTGGATTGATTTGAGACCACGACTTTTGCCTCCGAGGTTAAAAATATTTTTTTAATATTATATAAAATATATAATATAGTTTGAGATTATATATTTAAATTATAAAATTATAGGTAAACTATTTAAATAATTATATATTAATAATTTCAATTAAATAATAATAATAAATATAATATAGCTAAAACAAAAGTAAAATAAACAATAAAAAATAAATAAAAAATTTCTTTTCATATTGATTGCTTTATTTTTTGGAATAAATCAACTCATTTATTTCATTATTTATAAAAAATAAATCTCTTTAAATATTGATAAGTCATTTAACATTAATTACTCCAAAAATTAAACATGTTAATTTATAATTTTTATTTTATATATTTTCAGTTAAAGAAATATATCAATTAATATATTAATAGTTTATATAAGCAACTATTAAAAATGAATAAGAATTTTTATTTTACAAAATAAAATTTATAAATAACTTGAAAAGAATATTTATAAAAAAATGAAAAATTATACTAATTTTTTTTTGTTTCAATAGAATTTAAATAATTACTCTATATATATATAATTAAATTTTTTTATATTAAAAAAACATGCTGACAATTATTTTTAACGTATTCTATTTTTACGTTTAAAAAAATGCCGCTGACTAGTAATTTTACGTAAAATTATATGCCGCTAGCTTTTGGTAACAGTAACAAACGAGCCGTTGTCTACCATGCGCCTTTTAAGATCTTGTCTCCCTCCCTTTCTCCGCGTAAAGAGAGCATTGACATACAATAAAAGCAAGCACATGTAATTCAGCATCAGATCCCAAAATCCCATTGACCCTCTTCGATTCACTCTCTCTTTTCTTTCTTTTTCACCAGATCAGCTCACTTTTTAAACAATCACCCGTAGTAAGTAGCAGCAGCAGCTCAAGTTTCTACTCTTTTTTTTTTTTTCCGTTGAAAAAAGACGTGATCTTTCGTTAATCTGTCTTCAAGATTGGATTCATTGTTGTTTGTGTGTGTAATGTGCAGGTGAGAAATGGCGCAGATTTTGTTGCACGGGACCTTACATGTCACGATCTTTGAGGTGGATAAGCTTGGCGATGGTGGTGGACATGGCTTCCTCCGCAAGGTTTTCTTTTCTTTATCTCTTTTTTTTGTTCTGGATCAGGCCTTGTAAGTACTGACTGAGTACGCTGTTGCTTATTCTGGCTACTTATTTCTTGATGGGTATTAGCCATGTTTTCCAGTGCTGATACTACTGCTGTTCTTTACTTGATTTTTTGGAAAGGGTTCAATTTTGGTTACATTCTGGGACAGATCTTTACTCTCTATGACTGTCTATTGTTTCTTTTTTGAGGAATTGAATAAAAGGGATTCAGTAATGGAAGTAGTTTGTTTAGTTTTATTTAATTATTGTTTGATGATCTTGGTATATCTTTATTTTATTTATTTATTTGATTGGTAGAGATTTTTTTTTAAGATACCTTTTGGTGTTTGTGTGTAGAACTAAGCAAAGCATTTGAATATGGTGTTTTTCATAAATTCAATTTTGTCACATTCCTAAGAAGAGAAGGTTATGCAATGAGGTTATCCTATAAGTGTCGAATTTTATATCTTTTATATGTTTTGTTATTTTCTTGAATTTCTTGGATTTGTATTATTCTTTTATGTTTTGTTCGTGTTTGGGAGGGAAATAAGCAAAAATTAAATAAATTTTGCACTTCAAATCTGTTGGAAAACACTAAGTTTATTATTTGCAATGTTTATTAAACTTGACCTGATTTGATGAGTTGATCTAAGATCTAGTCGATCTGGTAATTAGACCGGTTCTAATTTAATAAAAGATTGGTTGGGACAACAACCTGGCAAAACCCAATCGACTCGGCGAGTCAACTAATGACTCAACGACCCGAGTGAGAGCCAGTTTGTTTTTTCAAATGTGGGATTTGATATCAATTAGTATATATATTCTATACTCTCAAGAAAAAAAATTATATTTTTTCAATGTGGGATAAAAAAAATTTGATTTAAATACTTCGACTTAAAATGATAACATACTATTTTTTTAATATGAAATTTGAAACCCTTTCGTATACTGAAAAAAGTTATGTTTTTTCAATGTGAGATTTGAAACCCATTAGTATAAATACTCTATATTCACAAGAAAAATAATAATTTTTTCAATGTGAGATAAAAAAAATTTGATTTAAATACTTCAACTTAACATAATATCTTTTTAACATGGAATAAAAACTTTTTAAAATATTTTTTAAAATTTTATTATTTACAATATGTATAGCCTATATTTATATAGATTATTTTTTAAATTTTTTTCTATAAAATATTAAAGCTTTAAATATATTTTTTAAATTTTTCTGGGTTAATCCAAGTTGACCCAAGTCACCCCATAAAACCTATGACTAGGCCTCTTATCCAAGTCAATCCCCAGGCAAAGTTTAATAACTATAATTATTTAGATATTGATTGTCTCTTAAATGAGTTTTGAGTTAAATTTATGTTGTCTAATTTTTTATTTCAAAACTCTTGGTATATTTATTTTCTATGAATAAATTTAAGAATATTTTTCATCAATTGAATTTGTTTATATTCTACTTATTTGTTTTGTCAATAATTCAAAGGAAAATTGCAAATTGTGATCATAGATTATTAGAGATTTTCAATTGATTGCAAATGGAATATAACTAAAAAATAATAAACCAAGCCTGTGTTTATTTCTCGATTCAAGCTGTATTTTTCTTGATTTATTGTTTTTATTAAAGAGCTTGTTTAAGGTTGTTTAATAAAAAGAAATAAGTAAAATAAACTCTCTACTTAATCTCTCATTAAACAACTTAGAACAAACTTCCTAAAACCAATCTAAATCCAACGCAATAAAAGCAATATATAAATCAAGAACAATGTTTGATTTATTAGTCTTTAGTTATATTTCACATGTAACCAATTGAATATTTCCAATAATCTAGAAAGAATTAAGAAATAAACACATATGCTTAATTTATTAGTTTTCAGTTATATTATTACACTTGTAATCAATTGAAAATCTTCAATAATAATCTACTATCACAATTTATAGCTTTTAAAATAGCAGCCAAATCACTATCATATTCACCTTGTTGTGCACCCAAATCATCAACATAATAATTTTTCATAATGAAATTAGAATATAAACAAATTTAATAGAGAGATGAAAGGAGCAAAGAAAACAAAATAGATTTTTGCAGGTGTCTTTTGATTTTTGGGTTTCTCATGATTTCTAAGTGCACCTCTTTTTTTCATAAAATACCTCTTCTGTTTTTAAAAACTTTATTTGTAAACTTCTCTTTTTAGAACAAAACATTTATTTATAGTGATTTTCAAGTTTATCTCGATGAAATAAGTTGATTAACCCACTAATCATGTTTATCTCTTTTCAGACCTTTTATCTTTTAATTATATCATGTTATTGAAAATAATTTCATATGGATTAAATAACAAAGACAACTAATTTCTTAGGCTTTTTAATTGATTTTTTCCTAGCTCATTAAAAGACAAGATTTGGCTAACCAAACTACTTTTTCTTGATTAGGCAAAATGCAGAAGTTACACTTTTGTTTTCTACACCAAACACTTCCTAAGTCTAGTAGTTTAAATTAAGTCCAAAACTCATTTGAGAAGCAATTAGATACACATAAATATACTTAAAAAGTATTTTCTATACCAATTTGAAGCTCAAAACTCTTTTTTCATTTATTTCCCTCCAAAACACCTACAATACACAAAAGAATAATAAAAATCAAAGAAACTAACAAAAATTCATAGAGAAATTAATGGAAAAAAAATGTAAAATTAGACGGTTATTACTAATATTGCTATATTACCATCTTAACAACTCGAAAGTGTGGTTGCGGTTATTTTTTAAAATACTTTTTACTTAGAAATATATCAAAATGATATTTTTTTATTTTTTAAATTATTTTTGATATCAGTGCATCAAAATAATCTAAAAAAATAAAAAAATTAAATTTTTTCAACTTGTCCTGGCTAATATTATCATTATTTCTAGTTTTTGTTGCTATTTTAGATTGTGTTTAGGAATGCAATGCTTGTTTCTTTAAATTTTATTTTTTTAATGATTTTTTTATATTTTCAAATAGTTTTCATGTCAAAAATAATTTTTTTTTAAATTTTTTTATTTTAACATATTTCTAAACAAATAATATTTTAAATTGTAATTGCCACCATAATCCCAAATACATTAGTGGGTTACGGCTATTGACACATAATTCCTTCTATGTTAGTTATGAATTAATCATCTTATGTCATTTATTGTGATTTATGCTATTTCATATAAAGCTCTACAAATCTGACCTTTTGTAAAAGACTCCATTCCATCCTTTTTATGCTGGAAAATATAGTTACAGCAGCTTGTAACATTTTATCGACCTTTTCTTCTAATAGTATTGCTATATATTTGGTTCTCATTCATCCCTTGCATTTCGATGTTCTAAGAATTTACTGTTTTCCCATGCTGAAGAGTTTACTGATTTATTCTAACTGCTCTAAAGGAGGAATCCAAATTTGGATTTTCACCTGTTCGAGAGGTCAATTCAGAAGTCCTTGTTTTTAACTCACATTTCTTCATCGTAGAATTATGTGGTCGCTCAATCTTTCTTCCCAGGTTTCTGATTGAAAGTTTCTTCTTGTAGCTTGTGGAGAACATTGGGGAGAAGGTTGGTATTGGTGACGGAATTAGCAAACTCTATGCAACTATTGATCTGGAAAGGGCTAGAGTTGGGAGGACCAGAATCCTTGAAAAAGAAGCAACCAACCCCAGGTGGAATGAGTCTTTTCATATTTACTGTGCTCATATGGCTTCAAATATTGTTTTCACTGTGAAGGATGATAATCCAATTGGAGCAACCTTGATTGGAAGAGCATATATCCCTGTTCAAGAGATCGTAGATGGGGAAGAAATAGATAGATGGGTTGAGATGTTGGATGAAGACAAAAACCCGATTGACTCCGGTTCCAAAATCCATGTGAAGCTACAATACTTCGACGTTACAAAAGACCGTAACTGGGGAGGTGGCATCAGAAGTCCAAAATATCCTGGGGTACCTTATACATTCTACCCTCAGAGACAAGGGTGTAAGGTTTCCCTGTACCAAGATGCTCATGTACCAGACAAATTTATCCCCAAAATCCCTCTTGCTTCAGGAGAGTACTATAATCCCCATAGATGTTGGGAAGATGTTTTTGATTCAATCACTAATGCAAAACACTTCATCTACATCACTGGCTGGTCTGTTTATACCGAAATCAGTCTGGTAAGGGATTCCAGGAGGCCAAAGCCTGGTGGGGACATCACTTTGGGTGAGCTGCTTAAGAAGAAGGCAAGTGAAGGTGTTAGGGTTCTTATACTCATTTGGGATGACAGAACCTCGGTTGGTTTGCTGAAAGAGGATGGGCTGATGGCCACTCATGATGAAGAAACTGAGAACTACTTCCAAAATACTGATGTGCACTGTGTCTTGTGTCCCAGAAATCCTGATGATGGTGGAAGCATTGTTCAAGATCTGCAAATCTCTACCATGTTCACTCACCACCAAAAGATTGTTGTAGTGGACAGTGCAATGCCTAATGGAGATTCCCAGAGGAGGAGAATTGTTAGTTATGTTGGGGGGATTGATCTTTGTGATGGGAGATATGATACCCCCTTCCATTCCCTTTTTAGAACATTGGACACTGCACACCATGATGATTTCCATCAGCCCAACTTTACTGGTGCTTCGATTCAAAAAGGTGGTCCCAGAGAACCTTGGCATGACATCCATTCCCGGCTTGAGGGACCAATTGCTTGGGATGTCTTGTTTAATTTTGAACAGAGATGGAAGAAGCAAGGCGGTAAAGATTTACTTGTTCAACTGAGAGAACTGGAAGATGTCATCATTCCACCATCTCCAGCTATGTATCCCGATGATCATGAGACGTGGAATGTGCAGTTATTTAGATCCATTGATGGAGGTGCTGCATTTGGTTTCCCGGAGACACCTGAAGATGCTGCCAAAGCCGGGCTTGTCAGTGGAAAGGATAATATCATCGATCGAAGCATTCAAGATGCCTATGTCAATGCCATTCGACGTGCAAAGAATTTCATCTATATTGAGAACCAGTATTTTCTAGGGAGTTCTTTTAGCTGGAGTGCTGATGGTATTAAGCCGGAGGACATTAATGCTTTGCATCTAATTCCAAAGGAGCTTTCACTTAAGATAGTTAGCAAGATTGAGGCAGGGGAAAGGTTCACTGTTTATGTTGTTGTCCCAATGTGGCCGGAGGGAATACCAGAGAGTGGATCAGTTCAGGCAATATTAGATTGGCAGAGGAGGACATTGGACATGATGTATAAAGATGTCATCGAGGCTCTCAGAGCCAAGGGGCTTGATGAAGATCCTCGGAACTACCTGACATTTTTCTGCCTTGGGAATCGTGAGGTGAAGAAAAGTGGAGAATATGAACCAGCAGAAAAACCAGAGCCTGATTCAGATTACATCCGGGCCCAGGAGGCCAGGCGCTTCATGATTTATGTTCATGCAAAGATGATGATTGGTAAGCCAGAATTTTCTTTAAGTCGTCAATGTAAACTCACTGAATATTTAATCCCCACCACGAATAATTTAACTTCCACGTTTCTAGATCTTCACTTTCATATTTGGCATTAATATTGTTGCTTGTCTAGTTTCACATCACACGCAGGGACTGATATTTTTAGTTTCGGATTAATATGCACGAAGAGAGGTAAGTATTCTGAAACCAAGACTTTTTAGCAAAGGAAGCAATGGCTTTTTGCTGAATGTCTATTGATGATAAGGATGGATTCTCACAAATGCATGGCTACTATAAGCATACAAATGAAGAAAAGAAAATATGCACCTAATTGACGACATAGAAATAAGTTTGCTTTATGACTGTAAACTTCGATTTTAATCATACACGGTGCTCTCTTTGATAATTTTGGTTACGTTGCTTGCCCTGCTGTTATTTTATTATGTGGTTGCCTCATGGATTTTACACATGGCTTTGCAGTTGATGACGAATACATCATTATTGGGTCTGCCAACATTAATCAGAGATCCATGGATGGTGCCAGGGACTCTGAGATAGCCATGGGAGGATACCAACCATATCACTTAGCAACCAGGCAGCCTGCACGAGGCCAGATCCATGGATTCCGCTTGGGATTATGGTACGAACACCTTGGCATGCTGGATGACACCTTCCTTCATCCAGAAAGCGAAGAATGCGTGACGAAGGTGAACCAGATTACTGACAAATATTGGGATTTGTATTCCAGCGAGACACTTGAGCATGATCTACCTGGTCATTTGCTCCGTTACCCTATTGGGGTTTCCAGCGAAGGAAATGTGACAGAACTGCCTGGAACTGAGTTCTTCCCTGACACAAAGGCTCGTGTTCTCGGTACCAAATCTGATTTCATGCCTCCTATCCTTACTACTTAGGAACTTGTTGCGATTCTCTAGCAATAAGAACCTGCCCATCCTCTGATTTTATATTACTAGTAGCAGAAGAATAAATCGTCAGTCTGCTGGGGTTGGTTTTTTTTTCCTGGTAGAATGTCCATATTAGGATTTGCAGAGACGTAATGCTATGGTGTGATGTTGATGCTGACTGTTTTGAACTTATAAACTTAATTTATCTGGTTGATGCATGTTTGATATGGTGCTAGATGGTGTTTTGCAGTTTATTTTTAGCTGTTGTTTTTTTAAATATTTTTATTATGTTTTATTTTTAGTGAATTATAAGTTTTATTTCTTTTTTATATTTCTATTTATTTATTTATTTAAAATAAATTAAAAAATAACTAATAAATATCATTATTATTTTTTAAACATCATACAATTTTTTAATATATTATAGGGGGCTACCTATTTTCTACATTTCATATGACAAAGCAACCGATTAATAAGATACAATGATAAATGTATTGAGCATCCACATCCACTATGTCTATTTTCTAATTAAAATGGCTGAAAAATAATTTTTTTACCAAATATTATGGTATCCTAAACTAGAGAGCCCTGAATATTGTATTGTTATTTATAAGTGGTAAAAATTATAATTTACATGCCATCTCCTTCCTTCTTTCAACAAAATCATCACAAAATCCATCTTGAAATCTTGAAATATGTAATTTAATTCATTATATTTTAAATTTATTTTTTAAAAATTATCAATTTGAATTTTACAAACTTTAAAATTATTAAAAATTTATATAATTATTAATTTTAAAACACATAAAATTAATTAAAATATATATAAATCATTAAAAATTTATATAATTATTAATTTTAAAACACATAAAATTAATTCATATATATATAAATTAATTTGAATATTCACATTAATAAAAATTATTTCATGACAAAACTTCGCTATCATTTCTCCTCCATTCCACACCAATAAAGATCCACCACAATGACAGCTGAATCGCTGCCTTAACTCCTTAGATCAGCCCTCTAATTTTAGGTGTCTCTTCTCTCTTGCTTTCTGTAATCTTTCAATGTTTTTAAGATTTTTTTTTGAGTCAACTTAACTCATTGTGCCTTTGGAATTGAGCAAACAAAGATATCAATAATACTATATTTTCCATTGTGAGTGAAGATTTCTTTAATTTTTTTCCTCAACAATGGGGAGAACAAAGAAAGAGGGAGATGTTGACTCTAACTTACATCAATAGTGATCTGAT